TTTTTTCTCGTTTTTGTGCGGGGATGATTGTAAATGTGACTTTAGAGCGCTGTGTAGAGACTGTGTTCGGGAGTTTAGTTTAGAGAATGTGGTTCCACTGTATTGCGTAGCTGATACTCCGTATGTTAATTGTGGAAGATGTTTTGAATGGTATTCTCGTCAGCTTTTTTTCGTGGTAAGGTCAACGCACCGCCCTTGGCCTATTGCCCCAAAATATCGGAGAGCCTGGCTATTTTTCCATCTTCACCTCTTGTGATAGAGATCGGCTGTTTTGGATCACGCTCTCATATAAAGGCAAGAATCTAAGAATATTAAATGTTTCAGAAATTATTATTTAGATAATTATAATAATTTAAATCGCTTTTTAAATAAAGTTCAATAACGATACCTGAAACTGTAAGGAAGAGACCGGGCAGTTCTGATTACTAAATCATCAGTAGAGAGAGTTCGAAATTATTTTGTGCATTAAGCTTATACTGCCTAGTGCTGCATGAAAAATATGTTCCGATGGTTCAGTCGTTCAACTAGAAACGACTTCAACCATTAGCATACGAGCCCTGTTGAACCTAAGAACATCCGCACCCATCAGTTCCGCACTCACACTTTCGAAAACTATTGTTGTTGCATATTGTTACATATATTGAAGTTTTGAGTATCGATGGAGAGAATTCCAATAGAATTTCCATTTCATTACTAACAACCTTGAATTTTCTGATTAAAATTTCCTAAGGAAGCAGAGGCAACTGATCGATGACAAGATCTGAATAAAGCATTGATTAATTTCATTTATTTATTGCATTTGCATTTATCTATTGATTAATTTCAAAAACAGAAGCTAGTAGCTGCGTAGCAAGCTAACAGTAGCGTAGTAATTCAACGAGCATTAAACCTTGCAGAACAGTGCAAGCAATTTTGCTGCCGCCCTTATGTCCAGAGTAGTGCAGTTGCATACTTTCTGGAAACTATTTATACAATAGATTTTTTTAATTCCGCATTGAAAACTGTTTTGTGAGAAACACACACACACACACACACACACACACACACAACGGGTATTGGGCATAGATACACAGAAAGGGACTTTAAAATTGTAAAATGCTTTAAAATGCATTGGATGTATGATAGAATATAATTTAAATGTGCACGAAAGTACTGTACACAGAGCGGTACCATGTCATAATTCGTGTTCTTATTTACATGCAGCCTCACCCTTAAGCAATCTCATTTTCTTTTCTGCATTGCTAAGTAACTACTATTATTATGATATCTAACTGTGAACGTGATATCGCGAAATACCGGCTTTTATCGAGAAAAGATCGGGAGAAAGATTATGCTTGAAGTGGGAGTGAACGCTTAAAGCTTCGCCATCCACTTTCCGCTGGTAACTATTGCGATTTACAAATGTGAGAAAATTATTTTATGAGTAATACATTGCATATTACCTGTCAGAATTTCATTCCTTAACTAGTGTGCTGAACAGCAACACACACTATTTGTATTATTCATATTACGTGTAACTGTTATGTGATATAATGCTAGTTGTAACCGCAAAAGAATTTGCCCGGGCTGATTCGAACCATGGCTCATAGGCTCCTCGAGCATCCAATTAGTATCACCTGGCTGTTTGGACACGAACAATGCCCCCGACGAGCCAACAGCAAAATTGCAATTATCAAAATTTAAGAAGTTTTAATGCCAATTGTACCTATGTCTTTATTAGAGTGAAAAATGTAAAAGAAAATTCTCAACTTTTCGAGGAACTTGTTTACGTACTTTTTAAAAATGAGCACTAATTACACTCAAAATTGTGCAATAACTACCGATGTTCAAAAACGTGTACAAGACGTTTAAAGATCTAATTATGAACCACAGATTTTGTCAAGGAAAAATTTTCCATTTTCAATAATATAAGTTGGAGGAGGAAGTTCGAAAACATGTTAAACTTGAAATTCAGAGGTTGTAATACAAATCGAACCTAAGCCGTTTTTACAAGCTTATTTTGCTGTGACGAGCAATGTAACTACTTTTTCGGTATCGTGGAGGCACCGCATAGAAATTCTGACTACAAGTATATTCGAGAAAGTTATTTACTTCGTACAGGAGATTGTGAAAATGGTATCAGGGACCCACAAAACACATTTTCCTATCGAAATATCAACACTTTCTCCTGTAGCTTTTTCATAACTTTTTCTTTCTACAAGGAGATGAATGAAAGTAAATAAAGATTTAAAATAATTAAATTAAAAGTTCCTCGTGGGAAATCAAGGAAGAAAATCAACCGGAAGGTCTGTAGAAAGAAATGGTGCGGAAACTCCTCGAGGGTATTCTCTCCCTCTCTCCTCCTGATCCATACGGAGGTGAGAGTTCGAGAAATCAATGAAATCCTTTGGTCCTTGGGTCGTTCGCGCACGTATCAACTCCAAGTTTCACACTACGTTCATTTGAGGGTAAAGAACAAGAAAAGCTGGAATCACAGTGTTGACAACTTGCATGACAACTAGTGCGACCCCCCCCCCCCCTCCCCGCGCAGTCCGCTCCTCTCTTGCCAGCTGCTCAAGCGGATTCACGACCGGCTGACGTAATCACGAAGCACGTGCTGGGGTGGTCCTTCCATTTGGCAGACGCCCAGATCGCGTGAATATGTTCGGACCTTGGCTGTATTTGCGACATCTCGAAGCTGCATCCAGTTTCGACGAGTGTTTCCAAGCAGGGTCAGGTTTGCGTATTTGCAACTTGTGCCGAAAATTGCCTCAATTCAAATAGTCTTAATAAAAAGAAAAATTAGATTTGAGTTTGTCTCTTCGTATTAAAACGAATTTACTGACGATCTAATGTCGGATAGTGCGATCGTGTTTAGAATTAGAAAGTAAATGTGAATGAAATAATGCACGTCATAATCTATTATAAACTATTATATTGTTTTATCTTTCCCAGTCATAAAGTACTTAATGTCCTTGAACAAAGTATTGTGTAAAGGAAAGATGTCAATATATCAATAAAAAGTCAAAGATTTGTTAGAGACCAGGTCCGGCTATTGAATGCGCCCGAAATTATAACACAAAAGCAAAAATATTGCTTGGCATAATAGGAGATTCAGATTTGTCACAGTTGAATTAGGAAATCCTCTTGTAGGCCCATGTTTTTCGCTAGGTACTTCAGTTGTGTTATTGAAATCGTGACAGTTCGCGAACGTCGAACTTCATACACGACGATGGTGATATTGTTAATATAAATATTTACATTATCACATCGTGGGTTTCATCTTTTTCTAGAATGTAAAATAAAATAATCTATATCAATGTCCTACGTCGCCGCCATTGTAAACTCTAGTTTGAGCAACTTGAACAAGATAGAAACTCGCATTTGTTGCACATTCTTATTTATGAATGCCGGTTCGTTATGCCTAGTGTTAAAATATACTGGCCTTTTATAACTTGTAAAGAATGAAAACGAGATTTAATTCTCAAGACGTCCTTTTCCAGCTGTTTTCCACTGGAGGACGTAGTAATTGGTATCTCGACGATGCTCTTCGTTCTCATAGAGATAGGTCTTTGCCTCGATGACACATCCGTTCCACAAGCCGAGCGCGTGACGAGAGTGAAACTTCATCGATTTCGGCCGTCTGGAAAGTTGAAACGCGTTTTCCCCACGCCCTGACGGAAACGAAACGACCTACTCAATCCGGGACTTCGACTCTGGGAGTAAAGATCGCCTTAAAAAAGATAAAGGCTGGCTACGTCGATCAGAAGGAATCTTAACGGGGAGGGAAACCGCGTAGTTCCACGGCTGTATCACTCGGGACCTGGCGTACAGAATGCGCTGGCTGCCGCCAACTCTGACGACTGGTGAATGGCTCCGAATGCGTCAGACTCTTCTGACCGTGAACAGCTGCGCGGAAAGAACCTTTTGGCAAGGTCTTCGTCGTGACCCAAATTCCCAGCAGTTTCCGGAAGAATTGGGACGAAAAAATCGGTTAACGCGTATGGGATCTAACTTACCTCGAATTTGTTTTGACGAGCTCGAGATCTCTGGTTCAGTGTTCGGGAGATGGCGATTTACTCGCAATGGCACACCTGCTAATCAAAGTGCTGAAATGAAGGAAATTTCCAAGTATTCATGGGAAGAAAAATAAAGGTTAAGCAAAAACAGAAAGCAATGTAGTTTTTATGCAACTCCAGACGCAAATTTTAATCACTAATTTTCACTTTCATCTAAAATAAAATTATTATATATCAACCTAATAAAATCAAATTCATAAATTACTCAATTACTAATGATCAGGCCATCAAATTTTGATTGGCTATAAAGTGCTGTAATAATTTCATTTGATAATTTGACCTCTGTCCTTGCATCATAAGTTCTTCACTAACGAAGAGCATGCCTTTTTAAATTGTAATCCGTAACCTTATCACTGGTATGTGTGAACTTAATTTTGATAAATTGCATTTTTCTGGTTCAAAAGAAATGCTCTCTAACAGAAATAAATCAAAAATGAAGTCCAAAAAGCAAAATGAAGAGCATTGCCACAGAGGCATAGCAAAACTAAAATTCCTCAAATTTGATATTGAACTTCAATAAAATTGAGATTCTTTTATTTTTAAATAAAAACAAGACTTAAATCCCCCTCCCTCCCTTTTTTTTGTCCTTTACACTAGTAATGGGTTCCTTAATCAACTTTCCCATCGGCAAGTATTTGTATATTTAACATTCATGAAAAATTAAACATTTGCTATTCCATGAATGACATTGAAGTTTGTTACAATATAAATTGTATTTTAGAAAAATTGTAAATACTTTTCTTCTACCCTATCAGGAGGGAAAATGATATGGGTTGATCACTTCATTTGGCAAAGATGATTTGCACAAGTGTTTCTAGCAAAATTAAGACAGTGTTCTTAAGTGAAAAAGATAAGAATACAATGATGAATGAATCTGCAGAACGTATTTTGTGGATAAGGAAATTTTCAACTGGTAATTATAATGTTAATTTTCTTTTTCAGATTCTGGGAAATCCAAGTGTTTGTTATGCTAGTGAACATTCACAAGTTGATCCAGGAATGAGACAAATGATACTGAAAACTACAAATGTAAGTGTTCTCATATTTGTTGGTGTAAAGCATTGCCTCTGTGCACTGTTGAGTCATTATCATTTGTCAGTTATCACCATGTAACTTCTCCAAATTCTGTATTTCAGTTGTCTTTCTGTCGCTACATCGCTGTAGATGAAACTGTAAGTTACGCACCACATCCTCAGGACTCTGAGAAGACTCTCCTTAAGCAAGAAGCTGTTGTAACTGTACAAGGCATCCCCCTTCATAATTATGTTGAAGATCTGTTAACGAACAAGATCTCGCTAAATGCCGGAAAGGTATATTCGAGTTTTTTTTTTTTTTCTTAGTTTCTGGCATAATATTTCTGCAAAAGTAAGACACTAGTCTGTTTTTTTAAGATATGTGGGAACATCAAATTTAGTCTCTTATAGGTACCATCTATTATAAATTGGAAATGCTAAAGTAAATTAATATGTATAATCGCCTAATGTTCTTACATTTTTAGTTTTCTCTCCTTGATGTATGATTAAATTTTTTTTAGGATGTTAACTTTAGCTTCTGTTTTCAAGCCATTAAGCCAACTTGGTTTCTAAGAAAAAAAATTCTGAGTATGTGATGTCAATGAGATGCTATGTTTTCCATGCAAATGGAGTGTGTTTATGAGACTACAAACACCAATGATGCCTTTTGAAACAAGTCTCAAATGGAAAAGCACTAAGATTAAAGAACCTTACACCTTGTCAAATACTGCATCCACTGCTTGCCACCCTTGCCAAATACTGCAAATACTGTTCCCACACTCCTCAACACAACAAGTATATCAGCAAAAATTAGTTCTCAATTACATTACTCACCTTTGCATCTTCCTTAAAAGATATCAAATTTTTACTTATCAGGAGTAGATTATCAGAGGTATTTCTGACAGGAGTATTTCCACAGAAGGAATCCCTTCTTATGCAGCGTACGTTGAAAAAGTAAAATCAAGGAGGTATCTAGCTTGGTGGGTGAATGAATCTCATGAAGGGTACATGAGAATCATTTTAAATAATTCTGATAAATGTTTTCTTGAAATGGATTTTTATTTATGGGCAAACTGGCTATTTACTGTAATACAAAACAAGGGAAACAAATTTGACAGCAAAATGCATAATATACTGCAAAAACTAGGTGCTACAGCAGCACCTAATTTCTCTTTATTTTTCAACTTTTTCTACTTCCGAAAAGTCAGAGAGCTTTATGAATGACACCTGCACCATCTTTGGCTGTCTTTCACTCTATCCATGGAAAGAAAATGAAGAAAAAATTTGTTTTTGAGATGGTAATTGTTTAAAAATTGCCTACTTTTCTCGCAAAATTACACAATCGCAACTCACATTTTTGAAAAATTGTGCATGACCTATTTTTAAGATCTCTTTGAACAACAGATTTCATCTTTAATATTGTAGTAGTCTTTCAATTCACCTGTCTTCAATATTGGAGTCGTAGGAAGACACCGGAAAATAAAAAAATTGAACTTTGCAATTTTCAAATAATTAGGGACCTACTCCATTCTATTGTGTCCTTCATGCTAGCAAACAATGAAATCCATCAACAAATTCAGAACCATTTGAGAAAATGTTGAGGCTTTATGTAAAGTACATCCAAAAATTAAAATGTGTCAAAATTGGAGTACCTCGAGCTCAGTCAAATTGATAGGGGAATGGAAGTTTTGAAGAAAATTGTCTGAACTGTTCATTGCTAGCTCCTAAACTGATTAGTTGTTGCTGTAAATTGATTTTTTATTATCAAGGACCCACCAAATATAGGATCCTGACTAAACAAAGTGTTAAAGTAATTTAATTAGCGTACCCATGCAAGAATTCTCACATGTTAATCTCCACCCTTTCCTTATTCATTTCCTTTCCTTTCTATTAAAAAGGAAAGATATTAAAGAATTGTGTTTATTTGTTAAAAAAATGTGTAAATGTAACTTCACACTTTTTTTACTAAAAAGCATTGGATTATTTTCTGTGCTGCCTCAAGAAAAGCAGTTCCAAACCAAAAAATAATAAAACAAATATTTTCACCCATGAGTAATAAATGCTGTTTGTTACCTTTAGAAACTGTTGTGTATGCTTAGATTTCACTTCAGTACATGGGAATGTTGCTCAAACATATATAAGTATTTAATACCTTAGTGAACCAGCACCTTAAGTTTAATATCAAACAGTATATTATTTGCAATGAGTTTGCAGCGGGCATTGATGTACAAACTTCCAGATACCGCCCACATTTAAATCATGAGTTTGGATTGTGATGGTTGGCAGTTGTCAAATGACTATTCTTTCTAGAATGTTAAATTTGATTGCTTTTTTAAATTAATTCATAGTATAGTAGGCTAGCACATTTTCATTTTTGTTTTTTATTTATTTCAAATTATTTTACTTTAGTTTAAAAAGTTTGATCTTTGTGTTGTGCCATAGCAAAGTTTTCCCCTACTACCTCCACATAACTGTGTGAGAACTTTCGCATGTTAAACCCTACTCTCTTCCCTATTCTTCAATCTCCATTCTAAGAGGGAAAGTTGTTAATGAAACATATTTTTTGGTTTTGGTAATTTTTTTTGTTTAAAACAATGCAATGAAGTTGAAAAGAATTTTTCAATAAGATTTATTCAGGATTATTGAGAGATTTCTTGGAACATTTCCTAACACTCCCTTAAAAATATTTGAAGTAATTATTCAATATTCTTAGACAGCGTGATAGTCACAAAAATATTACAAAAGCTTTTTATTCTTGAGAAAGCTATGTGACTGAACACAATGACTCGAAAGTTTCACTGAATCACTGCTGATAACAAATATACTGGTACAGTTAAAATAGAAACCAAACCTAACAAGACATGTCTTCACTCTTCCCTATACACCACATCCCTCCACAATCCTTATAAACATCAGCACTTATGGACTCACCCCAGCATTTATAGATGTTGGGAAAAAGTTAAATGGCTGTTTTCATTACACACATCAGAAACAATCGTTGGAATCAAGCAACTATTAATAGTACTTCTAGTTGTTGCTGCGAAAGCAAATCTTGAATTGATAATTATGAAAGTAAACCTTGTCAGTCTGTGCAAACCACTGTATACACAGAGAGCGTAAATACTGTAAGACCGAGGAATCTAAGCCTTGTAAACTTGACGTCACAAAGATATCCACCATCACCAAAGTTGAAATCTAGGTGGCATTGCTAGTGTTGATACGTGCCTAACCAGCAAAAATTTAATAGAATGTCCAAAAAATCTCATCCTGTAGATTGTAATGTGAAAAATGTTTCTTTGAGGCCCTCAGCCCCAAAGTTTAGTTCATAAGGCCCTAGAATGCTTCGTTTGGGAGTTCTTTAACAATATTGCTGGCTGAGCGCTGCAGGTTGCATTTGACGTGACAAATTAGATGCGTTCTTTTTTTAAACAAATCCTTAATATTTTTTATGTCAAAGTGCAATTAGTCAAGTCCCTGTGAAATTCTCCTTTAAGAGACTTCATTTATAAATGTCTGTTGCATGTAAGAGTCGCAAAGGCATGTATACTACTGAAATAATATTGGATGCGATAGGGACAAGATTTATCCACTTTTTCTTTGCCATGCCAAGCAAGAAGTTTCTGTCAAAAAATATGATTTTTAGTGCAAAAGTACAATAATTTTTCTAATGTAGTTAGGCGAGAAGGAAACCTTACGGATGTCCAAAAATCTCTTCCCTTCATTTGTATTGTCATTTTCACCGTCAACATTACCATTATTGATCAACAAAGCATCGAAGTACTTTTTGGCTAGAACTGTGTCAAAACTTGCAGATATCTTTTGGCATGAGGGACGCCAATGGGCATTAAGGGTGTTTGAGCAGGAAAGAACTTAAATTCTATAGATTAAGTTTCAATCTACCCATTTGTATGATCACTGCAGTTGATCAATTCATTATTCTTTACAAAAACTTGTATAATTTGTGTAAAGTGACAGGAAGGACTTGACATTTCTGCCTATTCGACTTGCAGAACAGTGGAAAAATTCATGATATTTGGTTTATGAAAACTCTTTCTTGATTTTCTATGCATTGTGGGTTTCACAGACATTTATCCTAATGTACTTTTTCATTAACTTGTAATGTTTTCTCATTAATCTCAATTCTATGTGTTCATTTTCAAGAAAGGTTTATTTTAAATGCGAACTCGTTGAGTTCTCTCCAGCGATAATGGCTCGTAATGCAAATACATTTTGATGTATCGAAAATACACCCATGGACTTGGATTTGAATTGCTACTTTCCATCAAATTATCAACTTTTGATGGCAATTTTAATAAAAATTATTCACTTCACAAATAGTCTTGGCAGAAAATTACTGCTCAACACCATATTTTGTGAAGATAGAGCAAAACAGTAATTCAAAGTTTCAAACTTCCAAAAAGTAGCTTATGTTCTTAGGATTGGCGATAGATTAAAGATCGGTTTGAAGATCATGCAAATATCTATCATTCTTCTTGAGAAATAACGAAACTCTAATCATTCTTCTGTAGTGTACAAATTCTTCAAATTTGCATGATGAAAGTGTGTTTTCCAGTGTGCATTGTGGAAAAGTTGATAGTTCACCCTTTGTATTTACTTGGCTGTCCAGGTAACGCCATGTCAATGGCGAAGGTGCCGACGTTTCGGTCGCCATTCTGCGACCTTCCTCAGGGCATAATACACCTTCACCATGGACGTGGCGTCACCCGGACAGCCAAGTATATACTGACTCCGGACACGGAAGTCTATGCTCTCAGTTCACCCTTTGTTATAAAAGATAGCACTAGAATTTAAAAAGAAAATTCTGGGAGAGGCTTACAGTTTTTACAATGTATCTTCACTAGTGAAAATGGGTTGTTTCAACTACTGACTTTGCAGGAGGGAAAAATTCCTCTAGAACCATTCTTCAGTGTACTATAGGTGGGAAATTCTCTAAAAGTGTTTTTGTTACATGTGAGGAAGAAAATTCCCCTAAATAATGCATTGTGACTGAAACCGCCAAAATTTTCTCTTGGAAGTGTGGTTCTGCTGTAATTAATACCTAAGCTTCCTATTATACTAATAACTACTATACTATAACTAATGCTATAATATGTATAATTTTTTAATTCTTTTTTTTTAGGGAAGGCAAGCTATTGAGTGGGTAATAAGCAAATTCAACACCGAAGTTAAAGATTTAACATCATCGGCAGTCAAGAGTACAGATGAAATTATAGCACAAACAAAGAAGTCCCTTGATGACATCACTGAGACTGCCCGAAAATCAATGGATGATCTTTCTACAGCAGCAAAAAAGTCTTTTGATGATATACAGAATTTAAAATATGTTCCTCCAAGGACTAATCAAAGTTTGCCAGAACTTTAGCAGGAATAATTTATTTTTATGTGCCAGCATAAATTTGCAAGAAAATAATACTGTCAAATTCAATTTCATGTTTGTATCATTGTCACTAGTAGAAATATTCCAGGTGTCCCAAGGATGTGATACGTAAAAACTTAGTATTTCAAGAGAGTGACAGTTACTCTTGCAGCTCAAGAGTAATTTTAAAGATGTTGACAATAATGTGCCTTTTCTGAACAAATCTGGTGTAGTGAATAGCTGCAATGGCTATCTGTGGTCTGTTAAGTGAACTGGCTGGTCCAGTCACTATTGCTTGTAATATTTCTACTTTTTTGATTTCTTGTGCTACTTGTGATTGTGTCCATTATCATTCCATTTGAAATGCCCATTATCTTTCTATATTGCTCATGGAAAACCTAAAATATTTTTGCATTCTGGTAATTTATTGAATTGATGAATTGGGTATTGTCCCAAGTAGCCAAGTAAGGAAGTAGAAAAATAGGCTAAAGAGTGAAACAAGACATTCCCTCTGTCTGCATTGCTCTCTAGTGAACGCTCACCCAAAAAAAACTGTCACTTTCAAAATGATTCCTCCACCTTGCTAAACAAGGAATATGTCAGACCTATATGAATTAATATACAGGTCTTTACTACAGAATGAGCACTGAGGTGAAGGAGCAGAAGGAGCAACTCCAAAGTGTAGTTATGGAGTGGGTTGTATTCAGAGATCCTTATTTAGGTTTCTCTGAAAGTTCAGTAATGTGTTCCGTTTTCAAAGAAGTATAAATGTGAAGTAGTGATATTGCATGTTCTGGAGTGCATTGTATATGAACTGCTTCATTTGTATTGTAGTGATGATAGTGCTTTTGTTCAACATTTGTTCTGAATGTGTCCAAATCTAAATTATTTTAATTATTTAGCATTACATGGCCATGTAAGATTAAGCTACCTTTTCAAAGGTTGATGTAACAGATTTTCCTAATTGAACCTGGTTAATTCAACCCTGTGTGTTTTTTATAATTAGTGGTATTCTTTCCACAGAGTGCAGACGCATTTAACATACATAATTACAGTGAACTAGAACAGTCTATTTCAGCTTCAGGGCATTAATTTATGTGGAGACAGGGAATTGATCAAAATTGGCTCCATGTACTAAATTTTTTAGTTACTGAATCTACCAGTGTATATTGATTTCACTGTAGATACATTGTTTGTGATGAAATGTGCGTATTTTTTTAATAGTTGAAAGCAGTAGTTTTTCCTTATATGCTTACATGACAAAACCTTGCGAATTCAGTAAGGAAATGAATCAATGCAGAATTGTTTAGTAGCTAGTCACTTCACTTTTAATCTTATTCTCCCTGAACAAGAACACGTTAAGCATAAGGGAAACTGTATGCACGTAATACTGTTTAAGTCTTTGCTTCATAGATGTTATATCATTCCTACAAATAGAAGGAAGAACTGAACACATTAAATGTATGTATGTACGTATGTGGATACAACTGTCAATCAAATGTATATATTATAATTTACTTATAAACATCAGACTGTACTGAAAAGGTCTAACTGAAATCTTTTTTGTTATCGGAGTATTTTGTACAGAAAATAACCGAACTACTGCTTATATATTATAATGTATTTTGTTGCACGAGCTTTCATTTATAATAAGAATTTCATTTACACTAAAGTTTGTTGCGAATCAGTATTACACGTCTGAAATGTTTATGTAAATAAAGAACGAAAAATTGATTTGAAAACTTTTTGTTAATCCATTAAAGCCCAGCGTCCTTTGTTGAACACATATATATCTGGTAGTTTTAATTACAAAATTGTTACTGGTGTGATGAGTTCATATTATAATTTTTTGGAAGCACCTTTGTTATATTGAAGGAAATTTTTATGATGGTTCTTTCTGAAGAATTTGCATGTCACCATTTAAATGCCTTGTAATAAACTCCTAATGTTAATTTTGAGTTTAAATGGTGTTAGGTTTCATATATTTATTTAGGTAATTTATTTGCTGGAAGGCATTAAGTATTTGTTCGATAATTGCAGCTCATTTTCATTCACTATTTCAGAAATGTGTATATTTCCAAGTGAGGATGCTAGCCACTCTGGCATGGCATCTTGCTTGAACAGGAATAGATTTGTTCAGTCCTTGTATTAAAGTATTACTTTTTTAGTTTCTTTGGTTCATGAATAGGCTACCATATTCAAACAAGGAAATTGATGCAAGCAAGTCCTGTAAGGTCTCGCGAGTTTTCTATTGATGCACGATAAATAATGTTTGTAGTTGATTAACACTATCTTATATGGAACAACTAAAGTTCTCGTGTGCCATTTTGCATGAGTGTTTTTCTTCAATGTGCATCAATGCAATGCTTGTGTGCAGCAGCTCTAAATCCATCTGACATGGTTGAGGAGAGACTAATTGACCCAGTTGATGTTAAAAACTTGCCAGAAACATTAGGAAAATGTTCATAACTGAACAACTAAAAACCTTTAGATACTGTCAAAGATCTAATGTTTTCATACACTGGAATGCTTCTCTATGCAAATCAGTGACTGCCCTTCGAAAACCCTCAAAGAAATGAATTTTGTATGTTAAAGTTGAGAAGGAAGAGAGATGTTCATTAAGTGGAATGTCAAAAGAATAACTATTGTTACAAAGGAATGAGAAGGAGCTATGAAGTCCAGACCCACATCTCACTAAGCCAACCTCAAGTTTAGAAGACTGACACTGGCGAAATGGGAGGGGTTGATAATCTAGAATGATTAGTGTAAAATTATGTCATATGACCTTATTTTCAAAGGAATAAAAATGTTAGTAATAAATACATGAATTTCTCTTATGCGCATGTTCTAGAAAAAGACATTATGACATGATAAACTTTGCGTAATTAGTAGGGAGTGATATTAATCAATTTATTAAATGCAATTAGATTGAATCCCCATTTAAGAACCACATTCGTTTCCTAATTGAAGAGCAGAAATTTTATTTTAAGATTATAAAAGAACAGTAAAACGTCTAAATGGCAATTTTCTTTCAAAATTTCGAATCCGTTTTAAAAAACCCGTTAAAATGCCCATTTTGCTTAAGTGCTGTACGTTCGATTTGAGCTCTTTTTCACAAAATTTTTGAGTTTTTGAAAAACTTAAAATTAAGTATTTTAACTCACAATAGTGTTTACAAATTTCAGGAAATGTGCACATCAACAGCTGAAAACTTTACATTTTTGATATAAAAAAAATACACCAAAATTAACTTTACATTGTATTAAAGAGCCCAATTACCACTATTCATTGGAGCCGTTTTTGAAAAATTGCGTTTGGGATTCTTTGAAAATGTGAATTTTGATCAAGTTTTCACATAAAACTTGAGTATTCGAGATACTTTGTATGACATTGAAAGCACATTTACTCATAAATGTAATATGAAAAATTGCCACTATTGCAAATATTAATAATAATAAATATTAATAAATATATATCGTGAGAGACAATTAAAAAAATTACATTATGTATTTTTTGAAAAAAATATAGCAAAACGGCGTTTATGTCCTCTTATCAAGAGCATTTATTAGAGTACTATTCCTACCAGAAGTGTAAACAAAAAGTTTGCCGTTTTTGAGAAAATGTTCTTTTTCTTTGAATTGCACATATTTTCGCGAAAACTACTAACGTTTTCAAAAAAAAAAAAAAAAAAAAAATACATGACCTTAATGAAAGAACTTGCTATGAAGAGAACAAATTTTATTTGAAGGAAAAATCTCTATATTTAATTTTGTAGTTAAAAGAAGACACCGAAAAAAGTTACGTTTGAAATTTTCGAAAATTCAGAGTGAACAGTGAAAATTGAACCCATGCCACATTTATAAATGTATTACCATTCTTACAAGAAATTTAAAGAAAATTGCAGCGGTTTTTGAGAAAATTTTGAAAATGTTCCGAGGGCTTCATGTAAAGTACACCCAAATTTTGAATGTTTTTCAAAACATCAAAGTTCCGACTCGAGCCAGATGGACAGGGGTTTCTTCAATTTGAAAAACAATTCTACTCGTGTTTTAGGCGCTAGTAGTGTTCACAGACACCAAAAGGGCGTTTTGAAAGAAAAGCAAACCATTTTTTCGGTATCAAAAACGTGTATTTCCGTTGAAGTCTCGAAATCGATTTTCCGCAGCATTACCTAACTTTCCGTATACTACGTACAATATTACTCAGTATATACGTATTAATTCGGGAAAGTAAAAAAGAACGTGGTCTGTGAGGATCAAATGGGATCAATGAATTTCCCGTTTTGGAGATTCGAAAGCTTTGACTGCTTTTCGGGATAATACGACTAATTTGTTAGTTCTCTTAATGTCCTGTGTCTTTACATCTCTCATTTCTGATAAACAGTTTAATTACCATTGAAACTTATTAGCGATATATATTCGCGTGGTGCAGCTGCGGTCACATGTTGCCCCACCCACTCCCAAGGGAGCAACAACCAAGCACCTTCCTTCATGGACACAGCCAATTGCGCTCCATCTAGTCTTGAACAGCTATTATATCTGCACGTTTTCTTGAGCCCCGGAATATTTACCCCCACTCATTTCCCAACAGTAGTTGCATTAAGAATAAATGAGAGTTGTAAGCAAGAGCAGGTGACGAGGAATGTTCGCTCCCGTGCATTTAAAACTATTTTGCATGGAAAAATTAACTACAAATTCCTTTTGCCAAAATAACTAAACTCCCCACTCTTCTCGCATTTAGCAAAGCGAGGGTGAAAGAAAGTTCAATTCTCCCTTTTGTCACGGAAATATTCCAAAGCGCCTTTTGGCTTTTTTGAAGTGTGACGTAGATCAATATCTCGTTTAATGTTTTTCATGCCGGTGACTCGTCACAACGCCTAGCGTCACGAAACTACCGTGGCGTGCTCCTTATCAGATACTCTTCGCCAATGAGCCACCAAACAGACAATTTATTTATTAACTGTCAGGTAATTGTCGTAAACACTATTAACGAGTTATTAAAGTGCCGTCAGAGAACGAATATGCATGATCGTTTCAGTATATTCCAAGATTTAATATTATTGGTACTAGAAATAAGGAGCGCCATTTATCGAACCACTTCAAACTTCGTTGTCCTAAGCTTTCTCTATTACTCGTTTTTGCCACCGACTGCCGCTTTCTTTGGTATATTTTTGTGTTGACAAATGGAGCAACTCGCCATAATAAAATTTTGATTTTACAACGGGAAACGTACGAAATAATGTAATAAGAAACAGGTGGAAATAATTGTGCAAGTGGAGAGAATGTATTTAAAAGTTTTTGCATTTCAGAAACGGCCATAGGACCCTAGAAGATGCATGTCATCCAAGAAGACCGGTGCCCAGCTCAAACAATATTTTTCGAATTTTCAGGAATCTTTCATCTGTTATTCATTCTTTCAATTAGATTGTGACATGACCTTTCTACGTGAAGATCCTCCAAATTTGCTCTCGAAAACTCGTCGTGTCCATTTCATTGTTTATGATTTCGGTAGTGTATTCTGCAGGGCAATGTGACAGCCCAAACCTATGTTCTAGTGTGTCAGTTTTGGGCCAAAAGAATGTTTCAGACCTTGAATCATTCTCTCCTCCCACCCCACCCACCCCTATTCGCTCCAGCGAACTCAAAGTCCCTCCTCAAATTCCTTCAGTCCTCAAAAGGCGCATTTTGAGAATGTTGCGTCGATTCAAATAAGTTCGTACGTGCCAAAATGTAGACGGTAAAGAGAGGGTGGTTACTGTCACAGATGGATACCGCAGTTCTTTTAGCGCTGATTGAACAGCATTCTAACCGGCAATTTTACATAGGCGTTTCAGAGCATCTATGATCGCCACCCTCAGTGTATAATTTCTTCCCATTCAGTGATGTATTTTAGAGTGGTGTGGAAACGTATTGAAGAGGCTGTGTGCTGGTCATGACAAATGACACACAATCAAGGTGCGATGGTAGGGATGTACGATGATTCATACGGGTAATTGTTTATCTATAGCGTACGCAAATTTGCAATAGAGCATAACTCACTTCTATTGGCTAAAATTGAGTACTTTAAAATACTTTGCTAGAAAATTGTACCAATCGATAAATATTAATATAAAGTTTATTATTTTAATCAAAGTAACAACAAACCTTATTCTACAATTTGTGTGGATGTTCCCGGGCGAGAGAATAGATACATTTTCAATTAAAATAGAAGTCGTTGGCAATCAAATACATATACATTAAAGTATACATGTTAAAGATAAAATATATAAACAAAGATCTAACTAATCAAAGCTACAAATCGCCAAGTTATATTTGTATGTTCGATGTTACAGACAAAAAAGGAAACCCGGTGGATTTCGCTGATGAAACCATTTCGGATTGCACCATGAAAGCGAAGAAATTGCTTCTGACTTTCGTGATTGGGCTTCTAAAGACTCCTTCACACACTCTATCTGCCCCGTGCAAAGCCTCCTTCCCCAGTGCGGAATGCGCATGTGAGAGCGGACAAGATGGCGCCGACGCAACCGTACGGTGGGTTCAGCGCTCCTTGCTCGGGAGCGGGAGCTGGGGGCGGGGCCCCAAGGAGGAGGTGCAACTCACCTGGGGCGAGGCGGCGAGGTACACGGCGCTAACCCTCTCGCGTGTGCTGCACGCCGCCGCCCCGCCTCCTCTCCCGCGCCCCGCCGCCCCGCTCGCCCTCCGCCCACGCACCGCCGCCACGTCCTCGCCGCCGCCGCCTGGCGCGACGTGCAGGCCTTCGCACACAGCCTGAACGTCTACGCCCTGTCGCAAACGACAACGTTTTGGGTTGCTTTAGATATCTCCCGCGAGGACTCGGACGTATCCGTGGAAGGAGCAGCAACAAGGAACAATAAAAATAACACCACGCTATATTTATTAGCTCTCTCTGATGTAACAAGTACCCAGTCGCACTTGTGCAGATGTGAGGCGCAAGCATTCATAACAGATAGACACTCAGCTACGAACAGAGGATCGTCAATGAGTGACTCGTGCGACATCAGTGCCAAGTCGGTAATCAATGCTGAAAACCAGACGGTGAAGGAATACTCCCATTTCACGTGCGCTTATGCGATCTTCCACTTCTCGTGGGACGGCTGGGGCGGGAAGGTGCTGGACGGCCCGCTGGTGCACATGGCTCGCCTCTTCCCGGAGGTGGCGCGGCGCACCGTGAGGTTCGCGCGCCAGGTGGTGGTGCGGCGAGGGGCGGTGAGCGCCTGCTGGATCGAGATGGGCCTCGCGCTCAGGCACAAGCACGCGGACCTGGCGTTCGTCCCGTCCTTCTACGAGTCACGAAACGCGATGGAGTTTCAGTTGACGCAGCCCGTGCTGCAGAGCCGCTACTGCCTGGCGGTGCGGCGCGCGCCGCCGCTGTCCTTGGGCGCGGTGCTTTTCGTCCCACTGAGCAGGGGGCTTTGGGCGACGCTGGGAGGCACGTTGCTGGTCACCGCGGCCGTTTGGCACGTGGTCCACCACCCAGGTCTACGACGGCCACGCGCCCTCGTCCGTCCAGCCGCGCAAGGTGAGGCACGTAAATACAGGTGTCTCAGAATAAACGGTACAAACTTCTAGGGAAAGTAGGGGTCGAAAATGATCATTTTCTCCTGTTTGACATTTTTGCCAATGCTCCTCCTCTCCTGTCTGATAGTTTACAGGGTGAAACTTCGTATGAAAAGCTAAACATGGGACAACTACCCTTATTGGTAGCTCACTCATTATTCACTGATGTTTGACGGGACACATTTTGACATATAGAAAGAGATTTCCTTTATCTACCGAACTTCTGTGCAAGATGAGTTGCCAATTAATTAGGGACAAATGCTTATCTTACACTATTACATGTAACTTCCTGCAATGTTTATTGGCGAAAAGTTTCGACCACTGCACTCAGTGGCGGCTAGTGCCCCCAAAAGATTGGAGTTTGCACCTCCATCGAATGACGGAAATAAAATTTCCAAAATACGAATATATAATAAAAATGTAAGCAATTCTAATTAATTAAAACTAAGTTAAATAAAGTCTATATTAAAACATTACTAGCATAATTTTACGCGACATGTCCATGTCAGGTATATTATACACCTCCAGCGCACGTGGTTCTGGCTTTGATTTCCACAGGACACTTAAGTTCG